GACTGTGTGGTTGAGTTTAGTTTTTTAGCCCTCATTCCCTACTCTCTGAACGGAGGTGATGACACCTGTGTACCCTCCCTCTCAGGGAGCGACCGAGAGAGAATGGGTAAAACTAGTCGACTGCCAGCTCTGGGATCAGGGAAATGTGGCAGGCCGGTGGCTCACCCAGGAGGTAGGAGAGTAAGGTGTGGTCATCTGGGATGCTTCGTCTCTGGAGGCACTACTCTCTGGTGGTCCCCTCCCCTTTTCTCATCCCCTGGGTGGTGGTCATCATTGGCCAGTGGCCTGGCAGTGGTGTCCAAGAGGTAATGTGACAAAAGAAGCACCTCCTGGCGAGTCAGGTGTTCCTGGAATCTCATCCGGACTGTGCTGCAAACTGCTCGGCCTTGAGCCTGCCCTTGACCTTGCTGCACGGGTTTCCTCATGGGTTGTATGGGGTGTTACCATGTGAGAGAGAAGCTCATGGTGGTTAAAACAAAACAATACAGAAGGACTTTGACAAATTGGTAAATCCATAAAAACATAAGTATTATTAAATTTTAAACTCTGAAAATGTCCCCACATCTGGTTAAATGGCCTTAAACCAGTGCAAAGTTTCACCAGTGCTGCCTGATGTCTGGGTCTGCAGTGGTAGTGAGTACTGTGTTGTGTACGGGGGTGGGGGGTTGCAGGAGACACACCTGCCCACCAACCTAGAGCTTCATTGCTCTTTACAAATTGTAACGCCAGCCCAGGTTTCACAACAGAGTGTGAGCGCATTTCCACCCCTTATCCTAAATCATCCCAAACATCAGGAAGGATAAGAAACAGAAACAGACTCCGTACAGTATATAATTTCTTTGACGTGTAATTTCTTTGATGTTTTCTTGTACTTCCGTCATTGTCTCTTCCAAGTTCTATTTTTTCTTTCATGTTGGGGGCCTTCCACAAAGGTCTAACTAATCTTTCACTGTTCTTTCATTTTGTTTTAAATCAACACTGAGGTATAATTTATAGGTAAAATATACCCATTTTAAATGTAGTATCAGTGAGTTTTGATAAGCATATACATGCATATAATTACCACTGCTGTCAGGATACAGAGCCTTTCCATCACCCCGAAGGGTTCCCGTGTCCTCACCCTCACTCCCAGGCAGCCATCGACCTGTTTTCTGTCACTGCAATTAGGCCTTGTGAGTTTCACATGAATGGAATCATATGGCACACAGCCTTCTGGGTACCGCTTCTTTCACTTTGCATAGTGCTCCTGAGACTCATACTGGACATGAGGTTCTGCAGATCAGTAGCTCATTCCTGCCTTGCTGAGTGGCTGTCGTGTGAACGAACCATAGTTTATTTTCCTGCTGATGGACATGCGGCTTGTGTATAAATTATATATTTACATAAATACAGTTAATATATATTTTATATATAAAATTATATTTATGTATGTATTATATATAGATTATAATTTATAGCCTCAAGAGAAGATGGTGTATACATCGAACAAGAACAGGATACTCTAAAGAAAAAGAACAGTTGAAAAACAAGGCTAATTTAAGAAATTTAAAATAGGATAGAAAATATTTGAAAATTCAGTAAAGATTGGAATATATTCAAGGAATTATCTCAGAAAGTAAAAATTTAAAAGCAAAATAGAAAATGGGAGAGAAATTGAAATGGAAAATTAGAGAGCAGATTCGGGAGGTCCAACACTTAGTAAAGAATGTGAGGGAGGAAGTTACCAAGAAATAACACCAGGGGTCTCTCAGGGCTGAAAAATGTGTGTCTGGGTTAAAAACACCTACCAGGCCCAGCATATTGAAAAAACACCCACCATGAGGCACATCATGGTGAAATTTCAGAGCACGGGTAATAAAGTGAAGAGCCTCTAAACTTCCAGAGAGGGGGAATAAAGGTCATATCCAAGGATCAGGGATGAAGCTAGCTGGAGACTCTCTGGCTCATTGGAAACTAGAAGGCAGTGGGGCAGCACCCGGAATGTGGTTGGGAAACTGTTTCCAGCTGAGAATGCTGTACTCAACCAGACTGTCAGTCAAATGTGAGGGTAGGAGGAAACTTGTCTCAGCTACAGTCTCAAATAAGCTTACTTCCTCACATCCTCTCTCTGGAAGTTAGTGGAGGGTGTGCTTCACCCAGAAGAGGGAGTGAATTGAGAAGAAGGAAGACATGGGGTCCAGGAAACAGGTAGGGTCCAACACAGGAGAGAAGTGAAAGAAACCCCACTGGCTCATAATGAGTAATACTCAACTTTAATAATGCAGAATAGGGATTTAATCAAAAATGAGCCAGACTGATTGAGCACAGAGGATGAGAGTTGATATAATTGAGTTAAAAACCCTCACCCCTAGAATAAAATCAGGATGTTTCTGCATGTGACAAATCAAGAAGTAGTAGAGACACACAGAGGAAGAACAGCCTTATAAAGTGAGGGTGAATTTTATGTGAAATGAATTTTATCATAATTAAGAAAAAAAGGTGAGGAGCCAGATGATTGAATGATCAAATATTTTGTCTTAAAATAAAAAAATTTTAAATTAAAAAGTGCTACCCCGGCCAGTTTGGCTCATGTGCCCATGGACCTAATGGTCATGGTCCTGGTCAGGGCACCTACCTGGGTTGCAGGTTTGATCCCCGACCCCAGTTGAAGCACGTGCGGGAGGCAACCAATCGATGTGTCTCTCTCACATTGATATTCCTCCCTCCCTCCCTCCCCTCCCTCCCTCTCTTCCTCCCTCTGTCCCTCTCTCCCTCTCTCTCTCAAAAAATCAATGGAAAAAAAATCCTTGGGTGAATATTAACAACAACAAAAATGCTTATTTTAAAACATTTATTACAGAAAATGTAGGAAAAGAAATCCCTGAGAAAGACTGACAGTTGGCATTTTGGTGTGTGTCCTTCCAGGTATTTTTACACCCACACCGCGCTATAATGATTTTGGTTGTGGAGGTGGTGGAATTATTTACAGAATGTCACCCTAGTGTTCTTAACGTGGCTTTTCTTCTCATGTAGCAAAATATCACTGGCACCTTTCGTTCTAATAAACATGGAGCTGCCTCATAGCATTGAGTCCCTCAAGAGAACCTGTGGACTGCTCTGCCACACTCATTTTAGCCAGTCTCCTGTTGGTGACATCAGATTCTTCCCAGTTTGCCATTATAAACACCACCACAGTGGACATACTTGTACACAGACCTTCCATATATTTTGCTGGTTATTTCCTTGATAAATTCTTGGGTGTAGAATCGCTGAGTCAAATGATATGTACTTGAAATACGTCCTACCAGTTTACCGCAACAGCATTTACTCAGCTGGGATTGCAGGTGATTTGGTTGGCGAGACAAGGCATGCATGTCAGAAATTAATGGTTTCTATGGAAATAGGCTAAGGGTGATATAAGCAGTAAACAGAGATGTGACTGGGGGCTGCTGAGAGAAAGACCCGTGGAAGCTAAGGACCTTTGAGCCAGGAATGAAACACTGCGTGAGATTTAGGTTGGCTGGGTCGGGGAGGAGGCCAGGAGAGGAGGCCAGGAGAGGAGGTCACTCGTAAGAAGGTGTGTTCTGAAGGTGGCATTTGGCCTATTGGCCCTTAAATTGATGATGTTCATGTTCCCACCGTTGGCCACCTGTTATTCCTCAGTCTGTCTGCCATCGCTTGTGCTTGACAGACCCAACTGTTCCACCTTGCGTGGATGTGAAGAACCCACACCTGATGAAGGGCAGCTGGGACCAGACCACGGCTCCCTTAGGGCGCAGCATGAAGGAGGAGGAGAGAGCGGGACAGTCAGGGCCCTGATTCCTGCTGGGGTAGATGTAGAAGAAATAGAAGAGAATTTTAGAAAGTAAAACCTTGAAGGTTCTAGAAGTAAACAAAGGAAGTAACTAACAGTCTCAGGGTAGTCAAAGATTTCTTGGACAGATCGCAAAAGCACCTATTCTCTAGCTTGCTCTTGCTGCCACAGCAAATGACCACAAATCTAGCACTTTAAAACAGCACAAATTTATTATCATTATGTTCCCTTAGGTCAAAAATCCAGTGGGCTCAGTGGAGTCTCTGCTTAGAGTCTTACAACACCAGAGTCACGGTATCAGCAGGACTGCATTCCTTTTGGGGGCTCTGAGCAAGAATCTATTTCCTTGCTTGTTCCATTGTTGGTGAAGTTTAGTTCCTTATTGTTTTAGGGCTGAGGTCTCATTTCTTTGCCAGCTACCAGTTGAGGCTGGTTCTCAGCTTACAAAGGCCATTCACCTTCCTTGGCTTGTGGACCCCTTTATCTGTCTTCAGAGCCAGCAGTGGCAGGTCGTGTGCCTTTCACTGACCTTACCCAGTGTTGGCAGGGTGCAGATCAGCTGGAATCATGCACCTCTTTTTCCAGAGTCACCTCTTTCGTTTTGTTTGTTTTTTTAATGTCTTTACTGATTTTAGAGAGAGGAAGGGAGAGGGAGAGAGGTAGAAACATCAATGATGAGAGAGTCATTTATCGGCTGTGTCCTGCATGCTCCCCACTGGGGACCGAGCCTGTAACTGGGCATGTGCCCTGACGGGGAATCGAACTGCAATCTCCTGGATCCTAGGTTGATGCTCAACTGCTGAGCCATGCCAGCTGGGCCAGGGTCACGCCTTTCTGACTCCACCTTCTTCTCCTGCTTTTAAGAGTTCATGTGATTAGTTAAGACCACTCAGATAATCCAGAATAGCCTCCCCATGTCAGGGTTTCGTGACCTCAGTCACATCTGCATAGTCCTTAGTCGGTGATGTTATATATTCACAGGTTCCAGGGACTAGGACATGAATACTTTTTTTCAGAGAGGGACATTCTTCTGCCTACCATGCCCTAAAATTAAAAATATAAAATAAAATATTCTAAAAATCTAAGAAGGAGTAGATGAACCACAGATTAGGAAAAGATATTAACAACATATATACCTGATAAAGAACAGATCTAAAATAAAATGCTTACGCATCAACAGTTAAAAAGTCAACAACCCAACTTAAAAATAAGCAAAAGTCTTGATTAGACTCTTGACAAAAAGAAGTTGTAAAAATAGACAATAAGCATATGGTGAAAAGATGCTTCACATCACAGATGTGCAAATTAAAACACATCTGTTAGAACAACTGAGAGAAGTACTGACCTCACTCAATGCTGGCAGGATGCAGATCAGCTGAAATCATGCATGTAGCCCACTGTGTTGTAAGTGGTGCGGGCGGCCACATTAGGAAACTGTTAGCTTGTGAAATGAGACCTGTTCTCTGCTATAACCTAGAAATGTCACCCGTAGCTGCTTATGCAAGAGAAAGGAAAATGTAAGCTCACAGAAAGACATGAACAAGAATGTTTATGGCACCTGCATTTATCATGGTTCAAAATGAAACAGCCCAGATTCCCATTAACAGTGGAATGGATTAAAAAAAATTTGGTACATTTATACAATGGCATATAACTCATCAATTTAGAAGAAAGAACGAATTATCAATACATATAAAAATATAGATGAATCTTAAAACATTCCATTTATATGCAGTTCAAGAATAGACAAAAGTGATGGAAGTCAGAAGTGGTTGCAGAGGTGGGGACTTGACTGGAAGGACAGGGAAACTTTCTAGTCTGATGGGAAAAGTTTTCTACCTTGCTCTGTTGATGGTTACATGGGTGTATATGATTGTTAAAACTCTGAAAAGCCAAGTTCTTTGTATTTTATTATATCCAATAAATAATGAAAATTGAAGATATACGAGAAGATATTACAAAGGGGATAATCAGAGAACAAAAATTAATTTTCAGAAGTAAAAATCAATTTCTACTTTTAAATCACCAGTGAACATTTTAAAAATCAAATGAGAATGATGGGGGCAGGAATGACAGAGTAAGGACTTCTAAAAATTTTTTCCTCCATAAAGGCAATGAGAACATCAGCAAAAATGGTCAAAGTCCATTGTTTCAGAACTCTGGAAATTAAGCAAAATTGACAGCACTCTGGAGAGTGTTTATTGCTCCACCAAAACTAGTTTCTACTGGTGTCGAACTTTTGATTTACCATATATTTAATCGGTTCCAGGATGTATATATTTTCATATTTTAATATCTCTATAATAAGAAAGTATCTTACAGTCAATAGCATATCCTAGTCTAATGGCAGTGGGTCATTTTTGCTTTCACAGTGCATTTTACAACAGATGCATGTTAGAGTCAATGAAATAGGACCATTTTCCTGTAGGTCACTTCTACGATGGAATTTTCTGAGTCTTAGCATCTATTTCAAAGTGCTTAGTACAATAGATTTTCTAACTGGAACAGTTCCTGTTCTGAAAAGTAACATTTTTTTGTAATCTTGCATTTGATATGAGTCTTACAAGAAGAATAAATAAGCAGTGACTTCCTTTTTTAAAAAGTTTTGTTTATTTTGCCATAAAATTTAAATTTGCTTCCAGTGAACACCCACACAGACCATGGGGCAGTGCAAGCTCAGGGCTAGCACGGCAGTCATGGACACAGGCACAAGGAGCTGTGTCGTGATTTCATTGACTCTGTGGCTGCTTAGCTTGGTTGGTAGGATGTTCACAAGGGTCAGACACCATATGAGATTGTTCGCTCTGTGCCCCATTTCCTGGACATAGAAAGGTCCCTTGGACTCGGCCTCCCCTGCAGTTAGGGCACTGCTGCCTTGGGGTGCGGGTGGGAGGGGAGGAGTGAGAAGAAATTATTTCCAATTTTAAAAAGTCAGCTCCCTGTGACAGCTGACAGTGTAATTGTCTAATCCCTTTGAGTGCCATTTACTTTTTTTGCTCTTTGGGTGTGTGTGGAATAGAGAAATAACTAGAGCCTGATTTTAAAGGATTCTTTTGTTTTTCCCATCTTGATTCCATAGCTTGTAGTGAGCTGCATACGCCATCGCTAGATCGGAAACCAAATAGTTTTGTAGCAGTGAGTGTGACCACCCCTCCTCAGGCATTCTGGACGAAGCACGCGCAGACGGAGATCATCGAGGTGGGTGCTGCTGGCACCCGGGGGCTCTGCGACAGGCTCACCGTGATTCTCACCCCAGCGGGAGGGCTGCTCACCAACCTGAGCACCTGTAGCTGTGATAATATCTATGTGAATTATTGCTACTTTCCATGTGTTTATAGCACTTGATATTTTTTATCACAGTTTTGGGTGTCATTTTTATTTGCCACCCCTTTACAATTATTGATCAGCTACTGGCTGGTTATTTTTGAACAGTGATGCTGTAAGCCTGATTGCCTTTTAAGAGGAAGACTCAATTCTTCATTGTCACTTCCAGTTGGCTGCTACTTTTGTAAATTGTGCTCATTAATCAATTTTGGGGAGTAACTCTTAACCAGCCCTCTTATTACACATACCCCTATTTTTATTGGTTTTTATTTTTATGTCCTTTTGAGTTGTGTGCTATATATTTACTTTTTACATTAAAATGAATAATATGCATTCACCTTGGGAATTTTGCAGCAGCTGTTTCGGTAATGAGCTCCTGCATAGCTGTGAAGCTAAGCGTAGGAGTTGCTGGTGTGGGATTGTGCAGGATCCCACTGGAATGTGCGCTCCTGGTGAATTATCCGGCCCACCAGTCTCCAGCAGGCTCCACTGCACTTCCTCCTCCTCCTACATTTTGGAAGCCAGGCCTTTCCATTCTCTTACAAACTTATTTCCAAGTTCAAGTCAACAATTCTGTTTTCTAAGCCTTTGTTGAGCACTGCCCACAACACAGCACAGTGTTGGGCATTGCAGAGGCCGTTGAGGCCCAGTCCCTGCCCCTGAGGTTGACTATCCTGTGTGTGTTTGGGGGGCGGGGGGCAGAAATGAACATGTCTGCTTTATTTTTTTTAAAAATATATCTTTATTGATTTCAGAGAGAGGAAGGGAGAGGGAGAGAGATAGAAACATCAATGATGAGAGAGTCATTGATCGGCTGCCTAGCCTGCAGCCCGGGCATGTGCCCTGGCTGGGAATCGAACCGCAATCTCCTGGATCCTAGGTCAATGCTCAGCCGCTGAGCCATGCCTGGCTGGGTGAACATGTCTGCTTCTATACCCAGCAGAGTGTGGGGAGTGTTAAGGGTGAGGATAGCACCGGGAGGATGGGTTCTCAGCCAGTTCTGAGGACCAGAGGTGGCTTCCTGCGGCTGCTTAGTGAAATTCTGACTTGATAGGTTGGCTCTAGCCCAAGACTGTTTCTCCCCAGCTCCCAAGTCATGCCCATGCTGCCAGTTTAGGGACCACATGTGGCAGAACATTGCAGAGTTCTGTACTGGCGATGGGGAGCCTCATGTGGCTTGAAGGATAACTTTAGCCTTTTTAGTGTGTGCAGAAGGCACAGGTGGAAAGCAAGGGGGAAGCCTTGAATGTCAGGCTGGGAGTTTACAGCTGGCCAGAGGTGTTTGAGGGAGTGTGACGTGGCACCTGACTGGCACTGGCAAAGAGGGGCAAGAAGGGGTGCCTGTGAGAGAGGATTTTTTATTTTGTTAATCTTCACCCCAGGGTTTTTTCCTTTGATTTTTAGAGCGAGTGGAAGGGAGTTAGGGAGGGAGAGTGAGAGAGAAAGAAACATCCATGTGAGAGAGACACATCAATTGGTTGCCTCCTGCATGGGCCTCCACTGGGCCGGAGATTGAACCTGCAACCCAGGCATGTGCCCTTGACCAGGAATCAAAATCAAACCTGCCACCCTTCTGTGCTGGGGCCTACGCTCTAACCACTGAGCCACACTGGCCAGGGCAGGGGAGGATTTGTGGAAGAATTTATTGTCACTAGGTGGCTGAGAACAATGGAGAAGGAGGCACCAAGTTTGTAGCCTCCTTGGAAGGAGAGTCAGAGATGGTTAACCAAGGGCAGATGGAGGGAGGCTGGTGGCTGGAGGGAGGAGGCGGGCAGCTGCCAGCAGACATTGAGAGACTGGGTCTGGAGCTGCAGAGGGCACACAGCCAGAGCACAGACCCAACCACAGATATAGACAGGAACTGTTACCAGTTGGCTGAGGTAATTACACCGCCTGGGAAAAAGAATATGTTTTTGGGGGGCGAGGCTAAGCTTCCAGGAAATAGCCATCTGTGATGTAGAAACTAACAGCTAGCCTCAAAAAAGGGATAGCCTTAAATAGGTCAGTCCTTAATTTTTCCAAACCACAGGAGTCTAGAAATAACAACTAAGCCATTCATTTCCTCTTTTATCGGCCTTGACACATCTTGCAGGAACAGCCCAAAGTAGTAGATTCAACTGCATAGTTCATCTCGGGTTGAATGACATGTGGACATTCAGCCTATTTCCATATTATTGAAGCCTCCTAATGAGGGGAAGCCCTTAGGACAAGCCCTGGGCACAGCTTGTGTCTGGATCAGGAAGGGTCTGCAGGACTCCTTCATCCTTGAAAAGCAGTTTTTTGGTTGACTGCATTCATTTATGCTGCCATGAGCATTTGTGTTGATCCAAGGTGGTAAGAATGTTAGTTTCTCATTCTGAAAATGTTGCTGTATTTCAAGAGCAGTTACTTGAAAAATCAACCCTGTGTTCTGAGGATTTTTTTTTCCATTCTAGGGAACCAACAATCCTATATTCTTAAGCAGTATTGCCTTCTTCCAAGACTCCCTCATCAATCAGATGACGCAAATCAAGCTTTCCGTGTATGACGTCAAAGACAGATCTCAGGGAACAGTTAAGTAGCTTGTGGTTCAGGGTTTTTCTTCCCTTTTTAAAGCTCTCTAGTTCATTTCAGTGAGAGATGAACATGCAGTTGGCTTCGTTACTGGCTCACAAATTGACATCCAATTGAATTTGTCTTTGGGAATTTCTTCCCGAGCATCTCTGTTGGGCTCCTGCAGTGAGGGTGAGAGGTGTTGTGGGCACCAGCCAGCCAGACTCCTGGGCCTAGACATTGAAGCAGAGGCAGAGCATCGGACTCACGCTGTCTCTCCGTCTTCTTCAGATGTATTTATTGGGCTCTGGAACATTTATTGTCAAGGATCTGCTGCAGGACAGGCATCATCGGTTGCATTTAACACTAAGGTTGGTATTTGTGTTCTTTTGAAAGGAAATGGCGTTACAAGGTCCAGAGACTGATGGGGAAGGGCCCCCTTTCCTACCCCCTCCCAGAGGCTGGTCTTAGCAGGGAGTGGTTGTCCACTGAAGCAAAAGCAGACCTCAGCCTATCAGAGGCCTATTGGGGATGGTTGTGTGTGGCATCCGTAGGAAACATGAGCACAGTTGGACTCAGACCTGAAGGAAAACCTAGACACATATCTAATAAATCAGATACGTTTGTAGTGTCTGCCTCCTCTCCAAGAGTGTCAGCTCCCAGAGGGCAGGGGTTTCTGTCTGTTTTACTTCATTGCTGTATCCTAAGCATGTAGAACAGTGCTTAGGGCTCAGTAAATACCTGTGGGGGGGGATCCCCCACTGTGTCCCTGGAAGAATGATGAAAGATGTCAAGATGGCAACCCTTCCCAAATTCATTTTAGGGGCAACTCTCACCCAAACCCTGACTTGGTGTTCTTGATTTCAAAATAATGTGAAAATTAAGAAAATAGTCCAAAATAAAGAAAGTTTTGACAAAGAGGATTAATTCTCTGCTAGATGGTGCACTATTCTGTAGCTGTGGTTATGGGTGTTGCAGGCATTGGACAGGGTGAGAGCCCTGCAGATGACCTTGGTGTGTGTGGAGCATCTGACTGGGGACAGAGGAAGAGTTGGGGCAAACGAAGGGGGTTGGGTGGGGGAAGGGCTCTCAGAGAAGAATATCCAGGTAAGTGATATGCAGAGTAATCCTGGTGGATTAGAGTTACATCTGAGAAGTGAGCATAACCCTTTTTTACCGAAGCTGAAGGTGACTGTTGGGATAGTGTGGGGAAAGGACTTCCGGGCGTGAGGACACTGAGAAAGAGTCACAAAGGCAATGGGCAGTAGCAGTGACCACATGAAGATGATTGCTGGCTAAGTCAAACGTCTTACATAAAAGCCTGGGCGTCGCTGGACGAGTCAGATGTGCCCAGGCAGCCGCACCCCTTTGAGCAATCTTAGGGATAAAGCTGACTGGTTGGAGTGGCATCACCTGCATCGTATCAGGATTCAGAGGCTTTCAGATACCCTGGGTGACTTCAGCTGACTTGGGGTCCAGGCCTAGGCCTTGAGGCAAATCAGAGCTTGAAGACAGGTCGGAAGGAGCAGGAAGGGGTTTCAGTGCCAGAAGATTCTCTCCAGACCTAATTTTGAGATGCGTCCCCATCACTGTCTGGGGCAGGGGTCAGCCCAGGGGAGCAAGCATTGGCTCCTCCCCTCGGCATCACCGAGCATGCTCACACTTCCCTGTGGAGCTTTGTCCACTCCTCCACGTCCCCTGGTGTCCTGTCTGCTTCCCTGGAGTCTGGGCACTCAGTGATTGCTGCCTGACTGACCAGCCAACCAAATCATGGCACGCCCCCAACCCCCGGTGACTCAGGTAGCTGAGCTTTTCGCAGAAAATGGATCACAGTCATGACACCACTTCCCAAAGTGCGTTGCTTGTTGCAGGTCTGCAGAGAGTGACCGCGTGGGTAACATCACGGTTATCGGCTGGCAGATGGAGGAGAAGTCAGACCAACGGCCTCCAGTGACCCGGTCTCTGGACACCGTCAATGGGAGGGTGAGCTGACTCCTCCTGCCCCTCCATTGGAAGGAGTGGGCACCTGTCCAGATGGGCTTTGCCTCCACAGCCAGGGAAGGGACAGGCAGGGCCTGCTGCTGATGCCACCGCTTCAGGACCTACCAGTCCCCCAGGCGCTTCTAAAGTGGAGAGAAGGGGGTCCCCTCGGGCTCTGCTGCCCTGGAGCCTGCCTCTGTGGGGCTGTTCTGTGGTCGCCTCTCGGAGTGGGGAGTGGTGGGGGAGCCTGGCCAAGGGGCTGCAGTCAGGAGGGAGGGGTGGCTGGTGGGGTGCTGAATGATACCCAGATTGTCTCTGACATTTTGTTAGTACCTTTCTCTCCCAGACACTTAGGTGCCCACTGTTGCCTCATGCACACACATTTCAAGTCTGCACACCCTCTGCAGCCTCTCACACCCCCACTAGGGTCCATCTCCCCATCCTCTTCCTCTCCCACCCTCTCCTTACCTTTCACACTCCCTCATGTTCATATATACTCTAAGCTCTCAGACTAGAATTCTGATTTAAGAGCCCAAGAGCTGGTAAGTATCATTGCTTTAAAATACAGAGATAGCTCATTTTACCTCAGATAAGCCCAGAACATCAGCTATGGAAGTATTTCTGGGTGTCATTTTCCCCTCCCTTAAAGTTTACACATCAAAACACTGAAATACAAGGTGAAGTGACATAGTCAGAAGACACACATTTCTGGGAAGTTGTGCGTGGGACACACTCAGTATGCCAGGTGGAGAGTTAATCTGTGTGTGGCCTACGTGACATATTTATTGTAGGGCTGATGGTGGCATTCATCTTAAGAGCTGATTTATGATGTCTGGCAGCCACCACCTCTTCTGAGTGCTCTGGACTCATCTGAGCCTCATGGTTTCTTGTGCTTTTCTGTATGTGTCACTAGATGGTCCTGCCCGTGGATGAGAGTTTGACCGAAGCACTGGGAATCCGATCCAAATATGCTTCGCTGCGCAAAGACACATTGCTGAAATCGGGTAAACAGCTTCCTCCGTCGGTGCTCTTGCCTCTCTCGGCAGTGTCTCCTTGGGCCCGTGGTCACCCTTTCCAGCCCACCCGCTGTCATTGTCATGGCCCTGCACCCCCATTGTCCCTTCTCTGCTGCACTCTTTTTGCCAACGTATAAGGAATTGGTAATACTCCAAGGGAGGGCTTCTNTCATTGTCATGGCCCTGCACCCCCATTGTCCCTTCTCTGCTGCACTCTTTGCCAACGTATAAGGAATTGGTAATACTCCAAGGGAGGGCTTCTTCCTTCGCCTCGCTCTTTCTTGTCTTGCGTTGGGTTTAGTGACTGCCAGCGTACCTGCCACAGCCCTTGTGCTTGGGAATCAATTATACATCCTGGGACAAGAGTATTACCTGTCTCAGGGAAGAGCATTCAGGCTCAGTCACCTGGTGGGTTTTTGGTTTAAATGTTTAATTCCCTTGAGATGAACAGTAAGAAGATGGAGAGTGTCAGCACCATTTTGGGCCTGGGAAGGGGGACCTGGCACAGGTCTGCAGCCTGCTCACACAGCCTCTGTCTCTCCACCACCCCTCAGTTTTCGGTGGTGCCATCTGCCGCATGTACCGGTTCCCCACCACCGATGGCAACCACCTGCGGATCCTGGAGCAGATGGCAGAGAGCGTGCTCTCCCTGCACGTGCCCCGGCAGTTCGTGAAGCTACTGCTGGAAGAAGATGCGGCCAGGTGAGGCCAAGTGGAGCAGGAACCACCCATCCTGCCCGCATCTTGTGTCTTCTGGAAAGCTCTTAGATGTGTGTGGTGGACAGAGCACTGGACCCAGGCAGGCCAGATGAAAAACCCAGCCTCCGCCCCTTGCCTGTTCTGTGGCCTGGGCTTCCAAAGCTTCCATTTGCTCCTCTGCATCCTGGGGTTTCTGTGAGAAGACTTCACAAGATAATGTGCCTGGAGCACCATATGTGTGCCCAGCACTCAGCACCTGCTACTTTCCCTCTACTTTCACTGTGCATTTGACCTCAGAAAGTTAAAAATAGCTGGTAATTCTTTGGTTATGGCTGCCTAGGTCAGCAGTTTCCTTGCGCAGGGTCACTGTGATAAGGGCTCTAGAGGGTGAGTAGGACCCATGGGAGCATCCTTCCAGCCCAGGATGGATATCATTGGTCCCAAGGCAGGGACAAGCCTGGGGGGTGGTTCAGGTACTGTAAGTTGCATCTCCCATCCGCCTTTTACTGTCATTCCTGCTCTGAATCATGAAATGATGTTAATCACAGACACAGTATAACAGAAGCATGAAAGAAAACAATGTAGCCAGAATCCTACTGCTTTAATAAAGCTGTTTCATTTTAAACTTTTATCTTGAAAAATTCAAACTTAAAAATGGCAAGAAATGAAAAGAGCTGCTTTCTCTCTATTCATACATATTTTATATGTATTTTAATTTAAAAAATTTTCCTTTCAGCTTTTCCATATTTCCGTCTGTGTACATATAGCTACCACGTATCTTCATTTTTCGTATCATTTCTAGTTAGGGCATAATTTCCCACTGTTTGCACTAGGTATATATATGTACTTATATGCACTCTAATTTTAAAGACTTTGTTCACCTAGGCATTTTGCTTTTGAGGTTTGTGTTGTTTTCCACGCCAGCCATGTGTTGGGCACTGTGCTCAGTGTGAGGCTTCTTGGTGAGCTAGACCCCCTGGGAGGCAGTCACTAACAGAACTGGGGCCACACACACAGCCCCAGATGTGTCAGCAGAAAGTGAAAGGGGGCTGTGAGGAGGAGGTGGTCCAAGCAGACTTCTGAGAGATAATGACATTAAACTGAGGCCGGAAGTATAAACAAGAGCCACATGAAACACAGGCAGAGACATCCAGAGGGGGCCACAGTGGCAGGCAGCTGGGCCTCATGCACGTGAACTGAGCTGAGGCCAAGGCCAGTGGGCCTCAGTAAGTGAGGACATTGCTCTCCCCAAAATCCCCACAGCCTGCCTGCACTAGTGCCCTTTTACGGTAATTTTTAAAAAATCCTTACCCAAGGATATGTTTTTATTGATTTGAGAGAGAGAGGAAGGGAGAGAGAGAAACATCGATTGGTTGCCTCCTGGATGCGCCCCGATGGGGGATTGAATCCACGACCTTTTGATGTATGGGGCGACGCTCCAACAAACAGCCACACCAGCCAGGGCTACGTTAATTTTGCTAATTTAGTAACTACAGTTTTTTTAACATCAGACAATTTAGTAGATTCCTGAAAACTTATGTAATATTAGCCTCTTTTTTCCCTCAAAGGAAAACGTGCATAGTATAAAAAGCCAAATAGTGCCAAAGGCTGTTAACAACTTAAGCCTCAGGGCCCTCAACTTTTTATCCCAGAAACAACCACTTTGATCCGTTTTAGTGTTGACTGCTGTATTTCTAAATATATGTGTAGGATACTTTTAATCAATTTCAGGGATTAGCTTCTGATTTCCTATAAAATGAGGATTTTAGGTCTTTTATACTTTTCCACTCCTTAGGTTTCTAAAATGGTTGTCCTTTTTTAAAAAAAAAATCCATCTTATGTTTTGTTCTTTTTCTGGAGATAACAAGTCATAGCAGTTACTTACAGGCCTCCAGACCCTTGTGTCTGGGAGGGTTACATATTCTGTTCTGCTCAGACCCAGTGGGCTGCAGCTGAAGCCTTCACCTGCGTGGTTTCTGATAGGAGCCAGTTGTCAAGGCCAGGGCGGAGCCACTGCTCTCTACTCCTCCACTTAGTTTGCTTCAAACATTTGACTAAATTTCTGTAAAAAGCTTCTCTGTGCATTTGCTCTGGGGTCGGGGGTCTGCCTCCCGTGCAGCCCTTCCTCCTGGAGGGTCTGTCACTCCCTGCTGCTCAGCCTTAGACTCCTGCTAGGTGGGCCTTTCCTGGCATTAAAATGCTTCATGTACACCTTGCTCTGGATGGTACGGACCCCTGGGCCTCTCCAGGAAAGTGAGCCCGCTACAAGCCCTGACCTGTGTGTCTTGTTTGCAGAGTGTGTGAGCTGGAGGAGCTGGGGGAGCTGTCTCCTTGCTGGGAGAGCCTCCGGCGCCAGATTGTCACTCAGTACCAGACCATCATCCTCACGTACCAGGAGAACCTGACCGACCTGCATCAGTACAAAGGTGGGCGCCAGGTCTCTTCTACGTCAGGCACACACGCTCTCCTTTTCCCCACCTGGGATCTGGAACCCAAGGGCACTCAGAGAGTCTCACTGAGAGACATTCTAACGATTTTTAAAAATAGATTCTCATGGAGGTGTGAATTCTTTAAAGTTGAGATTTTTCAGATCTTAATTTCAGATCTTAATTAAACCTCTGAATTGCATTGAAAATTCCTTCCAAGGTGTCATCTGCCAAAACAACCACTGTGGGGTGAGATTTAGGAGCAAGAGACCAAATCACAGGCTGTCGGCTCCTGTTACTTCTTCTTGGTTTAATATCAGTGAAATGCCCAAGGGACGTAGGCTGTTTGCCTCAGACAAGCAGTGCTCTACATTTCCCATTTGAAGTAGTCGGCACATTTGCATCGAGCGTGTAGACTGAGTGGAACTCTCTGTTCGAAGGCTCCAAAGGCAGGATGAAGCCCGGACCCCTCCCCTTGAAAGATGCCATTTGGTTTTCAGAACACACTCAGGGAAGGGTTAGAAGGCGGTTCTTAACTTACTCCCTTTTTATTCCACATTGAATGATTTTCTTTTTGGCTTTTCATTTATTCTCTATCTTTAGATTCTTCCCTCCTTCCTGTCTTCATAATGAAATTTCAGGGTTGAAAGAAAATCACACACTTAATGTCCTTTTGGCACAGAACGTATGAACATGTCCATGAACTCTGCTGAGGAGAAGCCAAATATGGGACTGATAGTGATGCTGGTGCCTGGGTTTGCTTTGAATGCAGAGTAGATCTCAGTGTATTTCTAAGAGAAATGGCAGCATTTGCTTGAAGGAACTCAAGTACCTACCCATGCTGGGTGCCTGTTACCTGGGAAAGTGTGACACCCATGCAGCCTGGAGTTTTCTAGAGCAGAGCTTCTCAAATGTCAGTGTGTTCACATCCCCAGTCTGTTGATAGCAGATTCTGCAGTTCCAGCAGCTTCTGGGCTGCCGATGCCCAGACCACCCTGTAAGTACCCAGGGAACAACCTCTTGTGACGAAATGCAGAACAGATGGTTCATGGTGTGTTTGTGTACTGGCAGAATACGTATTCCTTTTTTCACTGGCACAGCGTTTATTTCTTCTACCCTCTGCTTGTCAGCATAGTTTGTAATCCTTTTATTTTCTAGGCATGGAGTTCCTCATTAGTTACAGGCTCTGACTATAGAAATAAGACTGCAGATACCCAGCCTCCTCGACCACAGCGTACATGAGGGAACCTGTTTAAGTTTGTGTTCCAGGGGCCCAGAATTAATGCTGTCCAGCATCTGTTCATCCTGATAGACCCAAGTAATGAGCAGATGTTTTCATCACTTTTCAGAACTGAGGCGTGTTGCTCTAGTCAAACCAATTTCTTAGGTCTCGGATGATGGCGGTCTCTAGAGTTGAAGCAAGCAGCTCCTGGCATGGGCCCATTGCTTTTTATAGCTGCCGACATCGTGTTGCCCAGAATCTCCTCCTTGTGTCAGGCCTGTCTGTTAAGAGCTGAGTCGTAGGTGGGCAGGCATCGTCACCATCGCCTTCTGAAGCTGCCTCCCTGGCTGCATTCCCTGCCTGAGCACCCAGAACCATTCAAGCTGCCCGCCCTCCAGTGTTCCACCCACCCACTCTCTGGAAGTGAAATGTGCTCATAGGCAGCTCAGAATTGCCTGGGCCGCAACCAACACATGCCTACCTGCTTTTTGAGCAGCATCCCCCAAATACCCCTTTTCTACTTGCCATTAATGAGCGCAGGGTACATGTTGATGCTCTTTGTTTTTGAATGTTCCGTTTCTTAGGTCCCTCGTTTAAAGCAAGCAGTTTGAAAGCAGATAAAAAATTGGAATTTGTTCCCACAAATTTGCACATACAAAGGATGAGAGTTCAAGACGATGGAGGATCAGGTAACTTTTTCTGCCCCTCTTGTGGACTCCCATTTCACTTCTGTTCTCCCCGGGCCCTCGGTCCCCTGTGCTGCCCCCCCCACCTGCCCCAGCCTTACCTGTGTGTCCTGCTTCGCAGCTCGGATACAAAACACATCACAGGACCTTTGTAGGGTTTTCATTAAAGAACACAAACCCGTTCCTCTCACTTTTCCTCTGTCCAGCTACTTTGCATTTCCATGGCAGAAAGCTGCCCTTCAGTCATCCTTCTGAAGGAGAGATGCTGCGTGTTGCCTCCAGCCCTGTGTGGCTCTACCCTGGGGTGTATAAGGGCCCTTGGACAGCCCAGGCTTTGGGACTAAGGAAACTGCAGGCTGGTTGGACCTGGGTGGAGGGTCAGGCCCCAGAGCTGTGTGCATATCCCTGTAGCTGGCTCGTCCACAGGCCCAAGCCCAGAGTAACGGAGGAGAGCTTTCTGTCATTCAGATCAGAGCTACGACATCGTCACCATTGGGGCGCCAGCTGCACACTGCCAAGGTTTTAAGTCAGGAGGCCTCCGCAAAAAGCTGCACAAATTTGAAGAGACCAAGAAACAGTAAGTTCTTGGAGGTATTCATGGGCCTTGCACAGCTGTCTCATGCTTCCTAGGTTAAAAAAAAATCAGGATATGACCACAAAAGCATCCAGCCATTCATTCTGCTTTTGCGTGGTGAGAGGCTGCCTTAGGGACCCTGTGCTGTTCTGTATGTGTGCGACTGAGCTAGGTGGGGAGGAGGCCATCTGGTCAGTAGTCTGGAACCCTGCGAACTGAATCACCTTGAAAGTGGTGCTTGTGGCAGCTGCCCTGTGGACTGCTGGCTCTGCTGCCTTTGAGAGTCCCTGCTCAGCCTATTGGACGTCCCAAAGTGTGCAGCCTGGGAGAGACCTTTCCTTTCCTAATGGATGCCGTGGAGAAACATTCCCAGTTGTAAAAAGGCTCGAGGGGCTGCATGGGTCTGCTGTGCTGAGCAGGAATCTGTCAGGCTGCAGGTGGGGAAGGGAGGTGCAGAACGCACAATGAGGTGGGCCCATGCTTGGCGCCTGGATGCGTTAGGGAGAGGAGTGAGGGGAGAGCCGGCCTCAGTGTGGGGCTGTGTGCTGGTGAGCAGGGGTGTGGGGCTGACAGATCTAGGCCTGGAGCGAGCAGTGCCGTGTTTGGGAACAAGCACATAGGGTCCTGTGGAACTGGGTAATGGGGAGAGACCTGTGAGTCCCAGCTAGTATGTTGGACACGTGGGAGGTGATCTTCCAGAGTGTCATCTGTCAAGATTTAAATAGATCAAGGGATGTGAGTGTAAGAAGTGGGGGTGGTAAGTGTAGATGGTGCTGTGAGATCCTTGGACCATGAAATAGAGCATGAAGGTCTCAGGTTTGGGGAGGATGGTTATGATGTGAGAATGTTTAGGCTGAAAGGAAAGATGGAAGCAAGTGAGGTAGATAGAGGAGAACATGGATGGAGTAGGTTCTGGAGAAGGCGGCAAGAGTCACAACCAGGCAATGAGTCCAGGGACGTGAGAAGAAGCTGACGTTGCAGACAGGTTTTCAAGGTGGGAAGCAGCAAGGTGGAGGTTTGGTGGAATAACCTACGTGGAATGTGGAGTTAGAGGGTTACGCTTGTAACTGGGAATGAAATGGTTTGTGGGAGGGTAAAGCAAAGGCCCAGGGAATGTAATGTCAAGAGAATCCCACAGGGTGGTCAGGTGGAGAGCATTAGCAGGTGCTGGAGCCATGAGGCCCTTGCCTGGCCCTGTGCTGCCGTGGCCGGGAGTCAGGACATGGCTGGAGAAAACTGACCTTGGACTGGACCAGGGATGGTTGAAAGGTCAGGTGCAGTGGTCAGTCAGTGGGCTGAGGGGGTCAGGGATGCAGCTAGGAGTGTCACTGACCATATTGCTGAGGCTGGAGGCCGGAGCAGGTGGGCGGAAGAGAGAACTGTAAGAAGTCATCGTTCAGATGTGTGCACAGGTTGCCCTGAGCCAAGGCCCTGAGATGGGAGACGGAGGAATNCTGTAAGAAGTCATCGTTCAGATGTGTGCACAGGTTGCCCTGAGCCAAGGAACTCCTGGAGATGGGAGACGGAGGAACNACTGGACCAGGGATGGTTGAAAGGTCAGGTGCAGTGGTCAGTCAGTGGGCTGAGGGGGTCAGGGATGCAGCTAGGAGTGTCACTGACCATATTGCTGAGGCTGGAGGCCGGAGCAGGTGGGCGGAAGAGAGAACTGTAAGAAGTCATCGTTCAGATGTGTGCACAGGTTGCCCTGAGCCAAGGCCCTGAGATGGGAGACGGAGGAATAGGGGAAGGCCTGGTTAGGAAGGGGAGTTTCAGCCTAGGGTGAGGAACATCCTCTGGAAGGCCCCCAGACAGCCTGCTCCACCTGATTCATCCCCACCAAGGGTTCCTCAGCCCAGATGAGCCAGGGGACTGGGCCCGCCTGCAGATTCACTGACTTTAGAGTCTCTCTGGACATTGTGACAGTCCAAGGCTCCTGTCCTCATGACAGCTCTGCACAGCCAGCAGAGGTCCTGTCTGACACACATTGCATGTGGCTGTGTGGAGTGTGCGCATGCGATTTGAGGGTGGCACAGGGCCCTGGAGGGAAACCCCAGTGAGGAGGGGTGCCCCCGCTGTGATCGCTTTCAGTGTTAACTTCAGGACTTCTTATCCCCAAAATGCCTTTGTGGTGTTTTTCAAATATGTAATATGATTTTTTATTTAATGTCCTACTAATGCTGGTAGGAAAGGTTTTCCTCGTTGGAACTTTCCTTTAAATGCAGGTGCACCATGCCTACCAGTGGACGTTTCCCTGGGTGCGAACACGGGTCCGACGTGGCTTCATGAATGAGCACATGGGCTCATAAGTTAGATGTCCTTCAACTAATAAAGTCAAGGGTTTTGACAAAAGATAACCTGGCTTTTAAATTTTTTGTTTTACATTTGGTGTTTGCTAACAAATGCTAATACTTCATTTTGGTTCTTTTCCTTAGCAGTTTTGAGGAGTGTTGGTGAGTTTTCTGTCTGTGGAGAGTGTCTGTCTGGGTCTTGCTCTCATGCAGAGAAAGCCTGTGCTGTCCCTTCCCCCAGTGCTGTCCCCTCCCCCGAGAGGTGCTTCACCCCTGGTGCCAGTGTGGGCTCTGAGTTAAGGCCTGGTACACAGTTCCCTTCCAACTGCAACCTTCTTGGATAATGAATAGCCAGTCCAGTCTACTGCATTGTTTTTAAAATCCCACCGCCCTTTGTTGCTGTGCTCACTCCGAGAGCAGGCCTGGTGCTGATTCTACCAGGAGGACTCTAGCCCAAGCTGGCACGTCTGGTGCTGGGATTTCACGTCCACCCACTGGTGCAGCTGGGAATCTCTCCGGCTCTATTATAAGAATCTTGGGGCTTAGCCCTATCACCTCTTGGGGGAATGAAGCCAGCTTACATTTTCATGATACTTAATAGTTTATGCATATTTTTAAAACACTGTTACTAGTGTCAGTTTTACCAAGAATTACATTAACAAGTGACTTTTTCCTCCAAAGAGTTAGATGGCAGCCAGAAACCATTGTGTCTGCCGCCTGGGGTTCCCCCTGCTGCCACAGGACCCCAGTCATGCCCAGAATGCTTGCCCCAGCCAGAACAGGGGCTTTTCAGTGACTCTTCTTTGGGTGACAGGCCCCAGAGGCACCGCAACCCTTTGCAATTGCTGCTCTCTTGGAGCTGGTGAGGCTTGGGCTGTGGCTGGGCCCTGTCTGAGACATCAGGGTCTGCTGGACATCTGGCAGCAGGAAGTCCTGAGGGACACTCCTCCCAGGCTGAGGCCTCTCCAGCTTTCCTGAATTTAGGACTAGGCAGCTGGGCACACGTGCACATGATCACCCTGAACAGCAGCTCTTTGCAGAAGGCCCAGCTTACTATTATTAGGGCGTGGCCTGTAAGGACAGGGTGAATGGGCATGGTGCTTTTCCTAGGCGCAGGGGAGGGTATGTGTGTGTTGAAGTGTATATAGCCAGGTACATATGTGAATATCTGCATGCAGCACACATTACATGTGTGCTCTAAATATGAGGGCCTGGGAGGAATAAGTGTTTTTTAATTCTATTTTGAGATTGTGTTTTTAAGACTGAATTGTGTAAAGTGGCAGCTATTCATTTGGAAGAGTGATTGCAGATTGGAAGGTTTTTGTGTGCACCTTGAGCTGTGGGATGGCTCTGGTCAGACCACGCAGGCTGGAGCTCAGTCTGCTGCATGGGCTTCTGGCAGATCCATCACTTCGTTGTGGTGTGTGGGCTTGTGGTGTGGCTTCCTCCTGGGGTGCTTTGGGTTTTGCTTTTTGCATGTTCAACCCATATTTCGTCCAGGGAAGGGGCAGGGCAGTTTCATGGTGACTTGCCTTTGGGTTACTCTAAAAAGAGCTCATCGGGAAGGTTCCCAGAACTGCCCAAATCACCCGCATCTCCAGAGAAAGTGATGGAGGGTGTAGCTCTCCACCATCTCTCTCTTCCCCCAAACTCAAAGAGCAGCTCTGAGGGAACCAGCCAGGGCCCCTCCTTCCACAAAGAATGGGACACCCACCCCAGTCAGAACCCACAACTTCAAATTGTGGGGAGACCTCTTCATTGGCCTCTGATCCTTCCCCTCCCTGCTTTCTTCGGCTTCTACACATGGTCTGAAAAATCAATTTGTAGTATTGGGTTAATTTTGGATCTTAGCTGAGAGACCTCCATCTTCCTCTAGAAGGACCGACCAAGCCAGCCAGGCCCCACACAGCTGGGGATGTTGAGCTGGTTCTCCAGAGGCTGGTATTTATTTGTGCTGGGCAATGGCTGGGCTGTAGCTTTGACCTCAGATCCCAAGATATGCACGCTGCTTGGTGGCAGGGGAGGCGGGGAAGGAGGAAGAAGCAGGTTTCCAAAAGCTCCCAGGTTTGGCAAGAGAGGATTTGAGGCATCTAGGCCTGGTCTCTGGCTTGGCACATTCTCTGCCTCCTCATCTGGTGGAATGTTGTTTTTCAAAGTAGGGAAGTCCTGGAGCAGGGGGAGGGAAGAAAGCCCTGTTTTCTGAGGATTTGCTGGGGTCAGACACTGGAGGGAGCAGAACTGTGGATGTATGCACAAGAGGTTTCAAGTCCCAGTTGGCCAAATGAAAAAACGTAGGATCCTTTTGGCAAAGTCCAGTACCCACGGAAGTCTCACTTTACTGTGATAAACTGACCCCTCTGCCATCAGCAGACACTGTGTCTCCACTTAAGTCCTGCTTAGAATTGGACAGGTGAGGTTTTTAGGTGGAAGACTATGAGCATTTGGGTAATTTCTGGATTTAATATCTGCACACAAGGACCATGCACATGGTACAAATACAGATACAGACAAATATAGATAGAAGATTAATGTATGTTAATATTTCAAGCTTCTACCATATAGACAGAAAGGATCTCCTGAGATTTACTTTTCTGCATCAACAGCTCCCCAGCCCAGGAAAATGTCCCTGAGTAACAGTGCTTTATTTTGTGTCAGTTGTGGGCTGAGTGGGGAGGGTGCTGCCAGCCTCATCTATCCGAGAACCCCTTAGGATCTTCTCTTATCCTCTCTAGTACTTCATCCAGCTGCCAGTCCATTATCTACATACCACAGGACGTCATCAGAGCCAAGGAGATCATTGCCCAGATCAATACCCTGAAAACCCAAGTGAGTTACTATGCAGAGCGGCTCTCGAGGGCAGCCAAGGACAGGTCTGCCACTGGCCTCGAAAGGACACTCGCCATCTTGGCAGACAAGGTAGGAGGGGCAGCCCTGCTGCATGTGGGAGGGCCTCCCTTGGGTGTGTGTCATAGTGTGCTCAAAGCCATTTACACAGAAGGTGACATTGGGATGATCTTGAAGATCTAGCTTCAGATCCAGTTCCCTCAAGGCCCAGGGGGTTTGGTGATCTGCCCATGGTCACAGGCCTGGATGGGCCAGGCCAAGGACAGAGCCAAGGGTTGTGCTACCAGCTGCTATTTCATGCAGGGGTGTCTCCCAGCAAGTCTGGGGATGTCGTTGTTAAGGCTGGGACAGTTCCATGCTTTCTTAGTAACCTCAGCACATTTCCCCCACCATTCAATTGTCCTTGGAGTTAAAAAGAGAGTGGGTTATTATACAGACACAATATAAGAACAGTTTATTTTATTGGCTTATATGTGATCAGTAAGTCAGCCTTTAATTAACAGCAATTTAATCCTGATTTAAAATATATAAATATATGTCTACCCTGGGATGTGGGTACATCATATCCTTTTGGTGGGTGATGCTTTTTCATATTACTTACCTCTATCGCTCGCACGCACACACAGACTCTGATCACACTTCCCAGTCAACTGCTGTGCTGGGGGAGGTGCTGTTCCTGAACAGCACACAGTACTTCCTTCCCACATGTCACCCACAAAAAGATTGGGAGCTGGCGGTCAGGTCCATTGGAAAAAGAAAGCTGTCAGAGTAACATGATGAGCACAGAGCCCCTGAGGCATACAGAGTCCCCCGAGCCAGGGCGACTGGGCCAGAAACCTTCTGCCCAGGCCCCAGGCTCCAGGTGTCAGATCCAGAAAGATACAGCTTCAGTGACTGAGCCAGAGTAAGGCTGACCCCTAGAATCAGAGGGGACAGCCTGACCTCTTTGAAGGCTGGGGCTCTGGGCTCTCTAGGCCCTTCCTTGAGGCATATCATGCTCAGAGGCAGGCAGGGGTCAAAGGCTGTCAGGTTTCTCAGCCTCCTCCTATTCTCTCATGTCCTCCTCTCTCCTGGTGGGAAATCCTGGCTAAGATTCCGACAGTGGGTCCCAAGGCAGTCTTTAGGCTCGGCATCCTGTGGGTGGCAGCCCTCAAGGTTTGCACTGTGGAGGGGGTGGAGGAGTGCTGGACTCAGGCAGTCCTGCGCTCTCAGAGAGGACAGGCTTGACAGTCCCTGGCCTGCGACTCAGTGGTCGGGTGTGTGTGCGCCTGCAGACCCGGCAGTTGGTCACCGTCTGCGACTGTAAGCTGCTGGCCAACTCCATCCACGGGCTGAATGCGGCACGGCCCGACTACATTGCCTCCAAGGCCTCCCCCACCTCGACTGAGGAGGAGCAGGTGATGCTCAGGAATGACCAAGACACCCTCATGGCCAGATGGACGGGCAGGAACAGCCGGTCATCTTTGCAGGTGGACTGGCATGAGGAGGAGTGGGTGAGTCTGCTGCTCATTGCCCTCGCCATACTGCTGAACTTGGGCTGGAAACGCACTTCTCACTAGCCTCTCCCTCAGAGGGGCGTTTGCAGACAAGCTCTGAGTCTCCTTCCAGATGGCTGCTGGGCCATGTGATTTAGGGAAGGAGACAGTAGTTTACCACCTGTGTCCATCTGAGGAGCAGAGCTGCTGTGGGCTGGCTGTTCTCTGGCCTTGCTTTAAGGGGTAGTTTTCTCTCCCTGACACCGTATCGCATTGTCCTCACAGAGTCCTCACAGTGCCTCAGAGCAGATCTGTGTCTCCTGAGGGAGGGGTCATAGCATAGCACTGGTTTTGTCATGTGTTAGGGCTGTTTAGAAGCACAGTTGTGAGTTACTAGGCAATCTCTGCTCCAGCCCTGATTGGGCATCCTATTCCCCTTGGCCCTCCCTTGCCTCCTCCCCACCACCCCATCTGAAGTGATCAGCATTTTCTATCTTCTTCAATCCAAAAGATACCTCAGTCTCCTCTGGTATGATGCAGGAGATCTGCAGTGGAGCAAGGAGGGGTCACACTGGCTCACTAGGTTCTGTGGCCCTTCTTTTAGCACTGAAAGGTACTGGGAAGCCCTGTCTGGCCTCCCAGTGGGGGATGGTTTGGTTTGTGTTCTGTTCTGTCTTTCCCATCGGAGAGCTGACCCAAATGAGCTCTTTTGCTTTGGAAGGAGAAAGTGTGGCTGAACGTTGACAAGAGCCTGGAGTGCATCATCCAGCGGGTAGACAAGCTGCTCCAGAAGGAGCGCCTGCATGAGGGCTGTGAGGATGTCTTCCCCTGCTCGGGCAGTGGCACCAGCAAGAAAGGTAACCTGAATGGCCACGCCTACTGGATCAGACCGGAGGACCCCTTCTGTGATGCCCCTTCCTCATCACACCCCACCATCATGCCCTCTGCTGCATGCCATCCTCACCTGACCACACGTGCGTATGCATCCACGCTTCCTATCACTCTTCCTCTGCCTTGTGCCACATCTGTCTGTGTTTGACTCCGTGTCTTCTTCTCCCATGCAGACTGCAGGAAGGGCTGTCGGGCAGAGTGGGGCACTGCAGTGCATGGAGCAGCGGGCAGTGAGGGCAGAGGCGCTTGTAGGCTTCACGCCCACAGAGCCCATGTGTGCATCTGTGTGTCTCGCTAAGGCAGGCTCTCAGGGCCCTCTGGGGTCACACTGCCACAGCAGTCAGGGTTGGGCTCCTGGCACTTCTGGTTTATAAGCCAGTCTGAGAACCTGAAGGAGGCCTAACTCATATGCCTTTCCTATGGGGCTGTTTATTGCACTAGGAACTGGTAGAGTCAAGGACAGATGGATGGTGCAGAGACACAGCTGGAGGAGAGCTGTTAGCACAGGCCGGTTGTCAGTGGTTGGGTGCGCTCACCCAACGGAGGCACGTTGCCTTGGGATGTGTTGGTAATTCAGTCTGGTGGTTGCATCTGTTCCTGTGCCTCTGGGAGCTGAATTAACTTCCTCTGTTGTTACCACCTCCAGGATGGGGCTCTGAGTGGATGGTAGGACATTGGCAACAAGCAACACTCCAGGAAGAGTCTTCTGTCTGTGGGGACACAGAGCATAACCAGACGCTCAGCCTCGCTTATAGCCTTAAGGCTGGAGATACGGCTTCTTGTCCCTGTAGCTCAGGGCCTCCCACCTTTTCCTGTAAGAGCTAGAGACAGTTTGGGCCCAGCAGCCAGGACTAGGCCGCAGACCGAGCTTCTGTTTCCTCTTTGCTCTCCTTTGAGGCTATTTAGCCATAGGAAGTAAGGCCCAGATGTGCCCGGGTTAGGCTTCCTACAGTGAGGACTTTTAATTTCTGAATTGGGCAACTTTCATTGGAGGCAGAATCATTCTCCTTTATTTAGAGCCTCTTGATGAGTCTTCCTCTGTTGTAAGGTGCCCTCACCTTCTTTTACCTGCAGTCTGTCTCCAGGGCACTGCTTCACTGGAGCCTGTTCACCAGTGTTCATGTCCTTCACTCTTCCATCTGGGAGGGATTATAGTTCTGCTCATGGAGCATCTCCGTCTCTCTTTGTGTTCCCATTTTTTAATGTAAATTGTGTTTCTTTCACAATTTCCTAAAAGTTCATTGCTCATTTCTCTTTAATATTGTCTTGCTTGTACTTTAAAATTTTTCTGCAGATATAAACGTAATTTATTGGATTTTGTAAAATGCAGGAGATACTTTATTTAATCAGATAGACTGTTATCGCCATAACTTAAATGCCGTAATTTTTTTCTAGACACATCCTGTGTTGTTCAAATACAGACAAATTTAAATGCAGTTTTAAAGTTATTTAAATGAGCATTTGTTTATGACTTGTAATATTTAGAGTTTGACTTGTAATTGTGTGTGATGATGGGATATGAAGCATACACTGAGAGAGTGTGACTGCTGCCCAGTACTCACAGAAATGCGTGGACCTATGCCACTGAGTTAACTGCCCATGACCCTTAACCCAGAACCTAGTGCATCACCAGGATGCTGTTCAGACCTCAGCAGGAGCAGGAGGATCAGAAGGAACCAGGCTGTGAACCATGTATTTTACTCAGCCTCTTGTCCTTGGGGCCAGGACTGGGCCCTGGCATGACTTTTGAGACCATTTGGCATTGCTGGGGCAGGCATTTGGCCTAATGAGCAGGTTGTGTTCACACCTGCATATTTATTACATACAGACAGCTCCCTGCCTCTTTGAAAGGCATCGTTACTTTTTGTTCCAATTCTCTGCCCATCCTGGGTCCTTGTTTTCTTTTACCAAGGAGCTGCATGCCTCTTAGCTCACTGTCCTGCAGAGCTGGTCAGAGCCTTGCCTGGTAGGTGGGGAGCACTCAGGCCAAGGCTCCTCGGGACCCACTGGAGGCCCCATAGGCCTCTCCCTCTCTTCCCATTTTTCCCACAAGTGCTGCCCCAGGATTTGTGGCTTCCATTACCTTCAGTGTACACACCTCCTGCTCTCCTCGTCCCTGAAGAATCATTCAAACCAGGACCAGGTTGTCCTTAAGCTGAGGTCTGTGGGTCGCACCCACATTTGTGTGCCCTGAGATTATGTGCTAAAGTATGGTCATGAAATCTCAAGGAACTCCTTGACCTAAGAAACAAGCAACTGGTCCAGGAGTACCCCAGGGAACCACTCCCTCTCCTCTTTGATTGAGAGATTTTACCCAGCCGGGTTTAACCCCGATGCCTTCTCAGGAGTGGTCCTGATCCAGCTGTCTGGATTACGACACAAGGTCATAAAACAGACTCGCAGGCCTTCCTCTTCATTCAGGCCCTGGGTCTCCGAGAAGGCAGAAATCAGGGCCTGGGGTCATTCTCATCAGTCAGACAGATGTTTAAAAGTTGCTGTTCTGCATCTCCACACCAGGATCACTCTATGTTAAGTAGGTGGGCTCTATCAACGAGGTTGAAGTCTGTAGCTCACAGAGGCCTGTGATTTTGCTCTATTTCTATCCCCTTTGCCAGGAGAAAAAAAATCATCACCAAAAATGAGGAGAAGGGAAGGATCCCTTACCACCCACTTTTGGACAGTTTCACAGGTTGTGAAAGTCTCCATATAGCCAGTCCTGGCTATTCTTGGAGATCTGAAACTACCTATTTCAGTATCTTGAAGGCATTCTTTGAGCTAAAAAGTTTAGACAGAAAAATAAAATAAGCTTTTATTCCAAATGATCCCTTTTCAAACTTGTTTTCTTTTAGGTGGCACGCCCAGTTAACAGGAAACTTAGAGTTTTTAAGGGAAATGTGAAATTGAAATGAGTACTTCCTAGTGTGACTCAAGTATGGGTGAAACCGAATTAAAATTGGTATTCTTTGAGGGACCTGGAAGGTCATTCAAATTCCAGACACCCCCTAATCATAGAGTTTTATACTTGGTGTACATTTTAAAGCGTGGCATAGATATTTCTGGTGTATGGGCTTCATCCCTGGATCCTGCCTCTGGATCTCAACGGGCAGTCTGCAGCCCAGGTTTCGCCAGTCAGCAGGGCAGTGGCTCTGCGGTGGGACCTCTGCTAACTGACTGGTCAGTCTCTCTCATTGCAAGTTTGCTTCCAGATGTTGTGAATCAACATGAGCTCCATCACATACAATGTCACGGACGTGGGCACGTCATCACATTGTAGTACATAAGCGTGCTCACCCTGAAGAGCATTCTATGTTGACGTCTTAGCAACATGAATGTTTATGCCTGTGAATCAGGCTGTGTTTACCACCAAGGGGCTCGCTGCCTGGGAGCAGGTGGAGCACGTGCGTTTACTTGTTGGGGAAGAGGCAGGCCGCCCTACTCTTCTCTGTTCAGGTTAGCCACCTCGCGGCAAGTGTGGAAGCAGTTGCTGCAGGTGTTGAGTTGTTGGTGCTTGAACTGTGTGCTGCTCCCTAATCATCCATGTTGCCCTCCGTTTCTGTGCAGATTGCAGCCCCCCTCCTGAAGAATCCAGCCCAGGTACGTGGTTTCTGCTCGAGGTGTCTGCAGATGTCTCTCTAATACTCAGCTAGCGCTTATAGCTGTGTTAGCAGAGTGCCTTCTGTTCCCAGAGTTACAAAATTGTTTTAGGAGGTGTTCATTGTGAGGCATGTAGCAACTTTTCTGAGGCTTGGTGAGGGATCAGTTGGGCTGGGGACTGTGGCCTGAAGCAGGCCACCACATGCATCTTCCCTCCTCCCCCCCTCAAAGCCTTCTTAGATGATGAATGGCCGTGAGTGCATTGGGCTTCCTGAAGCAGGTGGCCTGACTAAGAGAGAAGGGCACACATTTGTAAAGGAAACCTTTGATTTCACCTGAACTTAGGAGCGTCACATGGGGAGTGGTTGGAGAACAGGTAGCCGCCCCAGTGTTGTGACCTTCGTGATCACACAGCACCCTTTTTTCTGAGTCTGGATGCAGCTTTAGATGCCAGGCATGACTGCTGAGGGCTTCTGCTGGAGTGAGCACTGGAGATGGGGCTTCTGCTGCATTTGCATGTAGAGATCATGCAAATGCGTTTACAGCTCCTGTTCCGGGGTCGGCAAACTGCAGCTCTGAGCCAAGTCCTGCCAGGCAACCTGCTCTTGTAAATGTTTTCCTGGAAACCAGTGGTGCTCACATGCTCACATACGGCCTCTGGCTGCTTTCCCAGGGCAGCGTCAGAGTCCAGTTGCAGGGGAGACCCTGTGGTCTTCAGAGCCTAAAATACTGTCCAGTTCTTGACAGGAAAAGTGCTGACCCTGCTCTAGTTCCTACTGAGTTTCCTGGATGTGACCTGTCCCCAGAGTGAGCATGAGACCCTGAATAATGTGTCATTTTCCTACACTCTAAACAGCTGCATGATCGTCTGATGGTCACACATTCCTGACTGCATATAAATAGGAGCTTGCAGGATACCTGCTCTATATCCAAAGGGCAGCAAACCAGCAATGGTGGGATTTACCAGACTTCCTCTCAGCTCACACAGTACCATGGTTCCAGCTCAGCTCACTGGGCAACTGCTGGCTGCACCCCCAGCACCCCATCAACCTTACTCATCAGTGGGCTGATCTGACTGTGTTTATCATACCCCCTGTTTGCGTTCAGCCCCTTTATAGTTTCTTTTTCCCAAAAACGTCAGTGTGGGGTCTCCCACCCCAGTCCCCTGGACCCTCAGGGCCACCGAGGCCGTGGTAGATACACAGGTAGTTAGTTCCTTGTCTCCGCTGTCGCTCCTGCCTCACCTCCATGGCCAGTCTGTGCCTTCATGCTGAGCTGGTTTTCCCCCGGAGCCTGAGGTGGTGAAGTTCGGGACCACACCCAGCAGTCAGGACCAGGAGAGGGGTGGCAGCATCATGAGCCTGTCCCTTAGCAGCTCAGGGTTCTTCTCTACACACTGTCCTGAAGTTTACAGAACTTAATGGGATGACTAGTGGGTTCCTGGGCAGGCAGCACACAGACTGCGCCTGACTTGTGGGATTCTCCCGGCTCGTGTCAGCTGTGTCCTTTCCTGAGCACTGGGGGCTTGTCCAAAATTGATGTCAAATGGACTAAAATGGTCCCCGTCCAGGAATCCCTTTGGCTTTTCCTGCAGAACCTTATTGAGTCTGGATTCACACACACACACTCTCTTTCTCTCTTTCTCTCTCAGTCTCCCTCCCTCCCTCCTTCCCCTGTTAATGGGGGGAAAAATGCAAAAGTATGGTCCATGGGTTGGCTACCAGTCAGCGAATGTTACAGGTTAGCAACTAGGTAAGGAGCTGCCCCTGGAGTGAGTCGGCTGCATCACGAGGGCACCTGTTGGTCGCTGCTGCTTTCTTTCATAGCAAGACTTTCTTGATGAAGGAAGCAGAGCCTATAACCCTTCTTCAACCCTCACATCCCAGATACCTTGACTTAACTACAGGTCCTGGGTAGACATCTCCTTACTGTCCCTGAAATTCGCTTTGCTTGGAAGTTTTAAATTTTAGCTTCTCCTCACAGTGATCCAAAACGTATAACCCCAGCCCCTACTCTGAGGCTCCCAATGTCCATTTAGAGTAAGTCAGATGCGTGTGCAGGTGGCAGGTCCTCCCGTGTGTCTTCCTCAGCCCTGCTGAGCCTTGTCTCCTCACCTGTGTCCATGACCCCGGCTGTGGATTGAGTGAGGAGATGGCTGTAAGTGAAGTGCTCAGCGGGCAGTGCGAGTGCGCAGGCCTTGGGGGCTCAGGATGGGCCCTCATTCTGGTCCGCATCCCCTCCTCCAGGACATGGGCTTTCCAACCATGCTTTCTATACTCCAGTTTTGTCGGGTGTTTTTTTAAATAAGGGAGCAAAACTGAGTCATTCGTCTGTGGATCTTTTTGAAGAAGTAGGCAAAGTCAAAAACTGCTATGTGGGGAGGGTTTTCCTAGATAGGATCACTGATACATTTTGAGCATTTTCAGGTTAAAATGAGCATAATTGGCATGTTAATTGCATATGTATATGCATGTTAAGTGGGAAAGAAAGTAAAATGGGCAACATTTGCTCTAAGAGCACTTCTTTGTGAATAGTCTTTATGATGCCCACCTTCTCCCAAACTATTTGGCCACTAAAACTTGGTTGCCATTGGCTTTTTTCAATAGTTGCTGAATATAATTGACTTGTATTCAACAGAGTTCTTCAAAGAAACAAAAACGTGGTCTCTGGGACTTTTAGAGGAGGAAAGAGACCTGGATATTATTTAGTATAGGACACTCTCATTATACAAAGAGCCTACATGGCTGAGAGGTCCCAGGGGCCTGTCCACGGCCCACCCTGCTCAGTGGGAGCGGGCCCGGGACACACATTTTCCACTAAAGTGTTCTTTGTCACCATGATTTATTGACTAAGACCTTCCTGCTGTAGACTTTCTAAATTTAAGCCAGCTTTTTTCCATTACACATATAAAATCTGTTCACATACACTGGGCCTGCATATATAGTGAGGTCATTGCCAAATTTTGAATAGCTACATATACTTCAAAAATCCACGTTCACCAAGCACTAATTATAGGGGAGTCCTTCTACAGATTTTAGGCATTTCTCTAATTTGTTTTTCGAAGTAGTGCTAAACACACAGTCTGAGAGAGCAGAGCCAGGTCTTCCTTCTTGCTGTTTATCTGAGATGGAGCTTACATTCTGCAGGTGCACTGCTCACATGGCCCCGGGCCTTCCCAGAGTGTGGTGGCATTTGTAGGCACCCTGTGGCTGACACCCTCACCCTCAGCAGCATACACTGCCCAGGCTTCACCCCACCGCCCCTGCTGCATTTGGTGTGGTGGGCACACCCAGTGCTGGTGATCGAATGCCTATTCCTGGGTTTGGTGACCTGCTAAAAATATAACTGATGAGGGCAATGTCTTCTCCCTTTTAAATGTCTTCTAAATAAGAAAGGAAAAAAGAACCAAAGCCAATAATACCTTTCACGCTGTTTTTCTCCCCTGAGGTTCTATTTTTAAAAAGTTGTTTTGGCACAGGGTCAAAGCTTCCTTATATTCCTAAAAAAATCCTAACTCAAAGTAGATGGCAACTGGGCGGGAAGGTCGGGATAGGGAAATGAGTGAGTGCAGAAGGAAGGGACATTTTGAGAGCTGAGAACACAGGAAGCCGTGTGGGACAGTCTCTTCCAGATGTGCAGAGGGAGAATTTAGCATAGCTGCACAAAGGCTAGACCAGGATGGGTTGTCCTTTGCTCTAGAATGACAAGCCTGCCTTAATACCCGAGTCAAGAAGCAAGGTCACAGGTCACTTTTCTGGGTGCTCTTATCCCCGGGTGGAGGACTTGTGGTGCTGTTGAAGGGGCTTGGCCTTGGCAGAGAATAATTTTCTTCCTTAGTTATGACTTGCAGGGTTTTCTCTTGCTGTTTTTCTCAAAAAGAATAGTCTTGAGATTTACGTGTCGAGCCCCATAGGTTCGGGAGACCGGCATGTGTCAGGGTCCCCGAGGAGGACTGACATTGCAGTTTATGGGAAAGCTTCAGGCTGGAGGGTTAGTCACCAGATCATATCTGGGAAGATCTCGGCCCCATTTGGGGCCAGAGCGTGGGCAAGGCAGTGAAAAGGTGCAGAGGGGTGTGAGGGGGAGGGCAGCGCTGATGGGGCCGAGCACCTCGTTTGGTTTCAGATCCTCACTCTTCACTCTTCCCTCTCAAACGCCGCCTTCCCCCGTGCCCAGGTGAATGGAGTGAAGCCCTTTACCCCCTGCTCACCACACTCACAGACTGTGTGGCCATGATGAGCGACAAGGCCAAGAAGGCGATGGTCTTCCTGCTTATGCAGGACAGCGCGCCCACCATCGCCACCTACCTGAGCCTGCAGCACCGCCGCGACGTGGTCTTCTGCCAAACTGTAAGCCCCCCGCATCTCCCTCACAGGAAAACAGGCCCAGGAAGCCTTTTCCTCCCTCTGCACTTCGGAAAAATCACAGATGGCAGAGTGTCCTGCCCCCTGCTTTTCCGTTTCCTTAACGTGGAGATCTAGAATTTGACACAGGGAGGAACCCACCCAGTTGTCTGCACTGAGGAGCAGGTCTGATTCCACACTAGTTTCTCCCTGCAGAATGGACACTGAGGGAATGCACACCCTTGCTCCTCCTGCCCTGAGGACGTGGTGTCATTGCCAGTGACTCAGGCCTTTTTTTTTTTTTTTTTTTTT